AGGTCAGGAGTTCGAGACCAGCCTGGCCAACATGGTGAAACCCCGTCCCTACTAAAAATACAAAAATTAGCTGGGCATGGTGGCAAACGCCTGTAGTCCCAGCTACTTGGGAGTCTGAGGCAGGAGAATTGCTTGAACCCAGGAAGTGGAGGCTGCAGTGAGTCAAGATAGCACCACTGCACTCCAGCCTGGTGACAGAGCGAAATTTCGTCTCAAAATAAATACATAAATAAATACATAAGTAAGATTACTTTTTAATATGTGGGAAGAGTCTTGTGTTTTCAAGACCAATATGACAAGTATTCCAATCCTACTAACACTCCTGAAACTTTTATAAGCATACTACTTATGAGCAGATAAGGATTGCTGATCAATCAGATAATTCAATGAGAACCAAAAGATGGGAGTTCTTCATTAGATGTCAAAGTAGACAAGTGGTATTTGTTTGACTCAACCTTCTTTGCTTTAGGAAATCACCTCTTTCCATGTGGGCTTGAGGGATCTGTCAATCATATTGCCTCACCCTCTTGGCAGATATGGAATGCCACTCAACTCAGGTGGGCCATTCAGAATAGGCCCCAACCCTCAGTCTTCAGAGCAGGCCCACATTGTCACTCCATCCTGAGGGTGGTTGGTGATGGGGTCTGTGGGAGCTGGACGATGGTCGTGATGAAGAAATCCATTGAGTAGATACTGTTATCATCCCTGCTAGATGAGAGGAAACTGGGCTCAGTGAAGGACAGTAACTTGCCTGAGTGTTCAGCGCCAGACTCAGATTTTGAATCTAGTTCTTTCTGACTCCAGAACCTTGTTCTTCACCAGTGTGAAGCACTCACGCTGGACTCACACCAGATCTTCTCCCCTCCTGCCCCAGGGAGAGCAACAGCAGACTCAGCCCTGGCAAGATGGGGCTCTGGCTTGAGAGGGGTCTGGGGTCCCCAGTGAGAGCCCTGGCACCAGGCACAGGGCCACCTGCAGCACAGGGGAGCCTCCGCACAGCAGCCTCTCCTCCCCACCATGTTGATATCAACCTCAGTTTCCTTGCTTAGCTCTTTCATTTCCTGCTGACTAGAGCCCTATTCTGAATGCATGCCCAGCCCCCCAGCCCCGATCTCCTCCTTAACTACTGTGGGGGAAAAAAAAAAGTCAATATATTAATTTAATCGAGTGAAATGAGTGTTCATTTACAAAACCAGCCATGCAATCTGCTAGTCAGAATGAAGTGTATTGAAACAAACACATACGAACATTCTCCAGAAGAAAGGAAGGGGACAGCACGCCTCTCCGGGAGGCATTGTGTTTCCAGGAAACCCACACACGGAGTCTGAGCTAAGCCACTCTGGGAGTCCAAATATGTCATAATCTGCTCCCCAGCACTCACAAAATCATATTTTCATTATGAACAGAATACGTGTTTATTATAGAAAGTCAACTGAGAAAGGAATAAAGAAGAAAAACCTCTATCATCCTACAACTCAGATATATGCGCATGTGTGAGTGTGTGTGTGTTCACAGAATCGGAGTTATACAATTATTATATACTACAAAGTATATTGCATATATATTTACAAAATCGGACACACTCTTAGCTACCTTTTGTGAAGTCATTTTTAATATTTGGATAGTTGTATTGTTTTTATTGTTTTGTGTAGATCAATATTTTCCAAATTTGGCCGTGCTTCACAATTGTCTGGGGAGTTGAAACATTATTGCAAATTCCTGGGCTCTTTTCTACATGTTATTGCATCAGAATTTCTAGGTTTACAAGTCTGCCTTCTTTGCTGGGCGCGGTGGCTTACACCTGAAATCCCAGCACTTTGGGAGGCTGAGATGGGTGGATCACTTGAGGTCAGGAGTTCGAGACCAGCCTGGCCAACATGGTGAAACCCCATCTCTACTAAAAATATGAAAAATTAGCCAGGTATGGTGGAGGTCGCCTGTAATTCCAGCCACTAGGGAGGCTGAGGCAAAAGAATTGCTTGAACCCGAGAGGTGGAGGTTGCAGTGAGCCAAGGTCGCACCATTGCACTCCAGCCTGGGCAACAATAGTAAAACTCTGTCTCTCAAAAAAGAAAAAAGAAAAAAAGAAAAAAGAAGAAGTCTGCCTTCTTATAGCCCTCCCTGGTGATTCTGAAGCAGCCCATCCTGCTGTGACCCACTTTTGGAACCAACGGTGTCCATGTGCCCTGGTAAGCAGTGAAAAGTGGCACCAGGCACAGGGCCACCTGCAGCACAGGGTGAGAGCTGTCATCTTGGAAGAGCCCAGGAAGGTACACCCAGCCAAGTACCCTTCCAGTTCTCTCTTTGAGGGCAGAGCAACCTCCTGGAGCTGATGGGGAGAGATGACCCTGGGAAAGAAGAAAGGCTTATTGAAATGTATAGAGACCTGGGTCTTCCTATTTGCATAAAAGGAAGGAATGTGTGACCTCATTGTGGTCATTTCTCATAAGATACAGTCTACCTCCCACTTCATTCTTCACTTTCTACTTAATACCACCACAAATAGCCTTTTATTTTGGGTGACAGCTCTGCTTCGTTCATCTTCTTCAACTCTTTCCTAAGGGCTGGGCCCTGCTGCCTCTTCTGGGTGTCTGTTTTGAAGTGACAACTGGCATTGTGGCCACTCCAGCTGAATGTGGACAGCATCTTCGAGCACCTGACTCAAAGCCTCCCTGGAGGGTTTAGAATTACTCTAGTGACTCTGCAGCCATTTCAGTTTTATAATTCTAATGGGCACCAACATGTTCTCCCACATCTGTCACCAATCCTACCCTGTCAGCCACCCCTCAGCCACCTGACCCCTCTGCCTCTGGTCTCCCTCGACTCCTCGAGTGGGTGGACCAGTCCTCATCAGGCATGTGCAGTCTGCTACCTGGGCACTCACTATTGCTCCATCCAGCTTTTCTGAGGCTATGCCTCTGACCATGCCCTTCCCAGACCCCCAAATAGTGCAGTGACACTTGTCCCAACACCCAGGGCCTGGCTGCCACACTCTCTCTAGAAGCCCTTGTCTTGTCTTCCACTGCCTTCTCCTCAAGACTGTCTGCAAGGAGGCAGGAGTGGGCCACCCTCTTTGTGTCAGGTTTGGGATAAGGGGCCCTAGGGGCCACCAGTCTGATCTCAGCTTGGCTCTGTGCTCTTGCCACCCCCACACCCCCATGCATCCAAGTCCCACCACCTGTGGGAACATTACCTTCCTGGCCCCACCCATGAGAATTGTGGCTCACCAGTGCTCAGTTGCTCCACTGTCCATGCTGAGACCCAGATCCTTTTGGCTAGCAGAATCATTGTCATCTTGGTGGCTCCACCTTGTGGTTCATGAACCAAACGTAGACCTTCTAACTTCCCAACTCCTTCGGAGCAGTGGGTACAGGTGTCTACTATCCAGGAGGGGGGCAGGCCCAGGTTGTGTGTCTGTCTGGGGGACTCATAGGCTCTGCCATGTGACCTGCAGCCCTGACTTTCCCAGGCCTGATTCCCCAGTGACTCCTGCCACCCACTGACCCTCACTACAGGAGTCCTGCAGGGGAGCCCCCGGCATTCCAAGTCTTTTTCTGCTGTCAGGGCATTTCTCTCTAACCTTGTTCAATGAATACTGGATTCAGATCTTATTCAATGGTCTCAGACAGAGGCTGAGTAGGAAAGTGGTCCCATAGCGGTCATGACTCAAGAGATATCAGCCTAGGTCCTTCTCAGACTTCCTGATACCATTTCCATGATTAGAGAGTCTTTCTTTCTTTCTTTCTTTCTTTTTTTCTGAGATGGAGTCTAGCTCTGTCTCCTGGGCTAGAGTGCAGTGGTGCGATCTCGGCTCACTGCAAGGTCCGCCTCCCGCGTTCACGCCATTCTCCTGCCTCAGCCTCCCAAGTAGCTGGGACTAAAGGCAACCGACACCATGCCCAGCTAATTTTTTTGTACTTTTAGTAGACACATGGTTTCACCGTGGTCTCGATCTCCTGACCTCGTGATCCGCCCACCTTGGTCTCCCAAAGTGCTGGGATTACAGGCATAAGCCATCACGCCCGGCTGAGTCTTTCTTTTGAAACAGAAGCCATTGACTCTTTTGAAGTCCCCACTTAAACACAAATATTAGGTTGTATTAAAAGTAATGGCAAAAACTGCAATAGCTTTTGCACCAACCTCTAATATCTTGGGAGGAATCATGCCTTAAGCCTTTCTCAGGGGGTGACATGGGCAGTGCTGGGGTGGTGATGTATGTACTAGTTGACAGGCAAAGGGAAGCAATTTCTAATTCTTTCTGAACTAGAATTCACAGTTTATGTGTCAAGAACTGTGCTAAGCACTTTCCTATGCTTCATTTCAGTTAATTTCATTGGCATGTCACCACATACAGCTAATATCAGCATCTGCATGTTGCAGACTAGGAAAATGAGATCCAGAAAGCATAAGCAAAATGCCTAAGTCGCATAGCCAGTACGTGGGGAAAGGGTTTTGAACTTGGGCTTCCTGACATCGTGCCCCATGATGGGGGACAGCAGTGATATTTCCCTGCCCTCTTCTTTCTCTCCCCTCTTCCAAGCTGCAGCACAACATTTGCAAATTCTGCTGTCTGCATCCTTCCCTGGTCTGCTTGTGGTCTATGGCTGTTACCTCCTTTCCTGCCTGTCTTTTGCCCCTTCATCTCTCCCTGCCCCACCATCCCTCCCCGTCCCTGGCAAGTTTGCTGTGGCTTTATACCCTTTCCCTTGAGGAGAGACAAATAGGCCTTGCAGTGTGCCAAGTAGCCACAGTGTTTCTGAGGAGGGTGGTGGGGCTCAGGAGGGGCTACAGGAACAGTGGCCATTACAATAGGGCTTTTAGGCCTGGACTAAGCATGGTGCACACACAATGCCTTGACTTTTGTCTCTTAATCATTTCCTGGTCCATTTGGCTGGTTCCTGCCATTGAAATTCTGTAATAAAGGGTAATTGTGCTTCTTTCCCAAATAGAATTGGGTCTGTCATTCCAAATGCAGATAGGAGCCCCGCCTTTTAGTCAGCATGTACAGTGCCCCTGTCCCCGCAGCTCCTCATTCTCTCCGAACAATAGCAGCCAGGTGCTGCCAAGAGCATGACTCTGCACAGCTAAAGACTTCCAGGAGGCGCTGGGGCTTGACACCCTCTCAGGGAGCACTTGATTCCTTGCCTCACACTTGGGAATCTCTAGGCCTATCTGGGGTGGAGGGTGGACTGATGATGGAGCTCCAGGGTCAGAGACCTTAGTGATCTGCCTGCATTTGCAGTCTTCTGTGTCATTCCTTGAATCAGACCCTTGAGGTAGGGCGCTGGAAGCAGCTAAGCTCTCTGGAAGACGTTACCCCTTAGAACAGGGCTTCTTAACCTTCAATATGTGGGAATCATCTGGGGATCTTGTTAAAATGCAAGTCTGGATTCAGCCTGAGAGTCTGTATTTTTAAAAACTTCCAAGAAAGACCAATGTTGCTCCAGGGGCCCTGTTTTTACTAGCAAGGGCTCAGGAACTTGCTCAGTATGGTCACTTTGACCTTTAATTACTTATGTGTGGGACTAGGGCCTGAATTTCATTGTCAGGAAGAGTTCCAGGCATTCATTCATTAATTCATTCATCCAATAAATATGCAAAGACTGTCTACTATTGTTTTGGAGTGATAATGCCACAGGGATGAAGATAGAATACACCTGATTGTAACTGTCAGTGGTGGAAGCAGGCAATTAAGCTGATAACTAGGTATAGTGCATCAGGTGAGATAAGTGAAGTGATAGAGGAAGTACTTCCCAGGAGCAGGATCCTTGAAAAATAAATCTGTTGCTGAAAAAAGCGGAGGTAGCGGGAGCCAGGAGAACAGAGGAAAAGGGAGAGCCAATGGTCTGCTGAGCCTTGGTGGAGCAGTAAGTCCAGAAAGGGGAAAGGGAACCGACATGGCCTGCTGGGATCCTGTAACTTGGTACTTCACATGGGACCTGGGTTTTCCTGTTAGTTGCTCATGCAGGGAGAGTTTGCCTGGCTCTGCTCAGTTTAAATTCTTCTCTCGTTACTCCCTTCCTCCCTCATTGACCATTCCTAGGGTCCTCAGAGGATGTTACCTGGAAGCTCCATAGATCCAACCCTTTCAGCTTTCAGTGGTTTTAAGCAATAAGACAAGATGGTCCCATGGTTTCACTGAGGTTTCATTGAACATCCCATGAAACAATCCATTTCTGACTATTGTGGCCCTTGCACAATTCCAGGGGTAGGACCTGGGGACAACATAAATGACACCCCCACCCCCAAATTATCCCTCCTTTTTTTTTTTTTTTTTTTTTAAACCAGTGCCCATTTTCATCAGGCCTCTACCCAGGAATCTTTGAGTTCCTGATGGTAGGGTGAATCTTAGGGTAATGTGAACTCAGATATGACACCACTATGTTTTAAAATATTAAGTAATTTAGTTCTTACAAGAAGATCCTGACAGGCAGTATTATTGTTTCTACTTTACATTTGAGCAAAGGGAGGCGCACACAGATAGATAAGCACTGCAACTTTCCTAGCATCACTGGGCTGGTGGTGGCCAGCGTGCCAAGGCTCCCCTTAGCGGACAGGGTGAGGATAGTCCTCTAGTTCCAAGAGCACTGGGCTGGGGTGGGAAGCCAGATTCCAGTCTCAACTCTCTGCTTATGGGGAGATTTACTCATTTCTCTGGGCCTCAGTCTTCTCTTTAAAGTTCAGTGATCAGTTCAGTTAGGGGCTGACAATAAAGCCCCTTTGCTGCACTCAGAGGAAGTTGAATGATGAGGAGCCTGCTTTGTTCCCCACTACTTCCTGCCACCTTGTCTTCCTGTCTCCTGTCTAGGCTGTTTCTGAAGGCTGTTCCTGGCTTGCCTCACCTAGTCCAGCTGTCTTGGCATTCATCTCTGTTATGGTTTGGATGTTTGTCCCCTCCAAATCTCATGGTGAAATGTAATCCCCAGTGTTGGAGGTGGGGGCCTGGTGGGAGGTGGCTTAGCTCTATCCACTTGGTGAAGCATGAGTTCTTGCTCTGGTAGTTCATGTGAGATCTGGTTGTTTAAAACAGTGTGGTACCTCCATATCTCTGTTGCTCCTGCTCTGACCATGTGTCACATTGGCTCCCCATTCACCTTTCACCATGGTGTAAGCTCCCTGAGGCCTCCCCAGAAGTGGGTGCCAGCACCATGCTTCATATAAAGCCTGCAGAACCATGAGCCAATTGAACCTTTTTTCTCTATAAGTTAGCCAGCCTCAGGTACTTTTTTATAGCAATGCAAGAATGGCATAATGCAAAATTAGTACTGAGCAGTGGGGCATTGCAATAAAGGTACCTAAAAATGTGGATCCAGCATTGGAACTGGGTAATGGGCAGAGACTGGAAGAATTTGGAGGTTTCAGAAGAAGACAGGAAGATGAAGGAAAGTTTGCAACTTGTAGACCGGTTAAATGGTTGTGACCAAAATGCTGATAGAGATATTGAAGTCCAGGCTGATGAGGTCTCAGATGGAAACGATGTTATTAGGAACTGGAGTAAAGTCACCCATGTTATGCTTTAGTAAAGAGCTTGGCTGCATTTTGTCCAGGTCCTAAGGCTCTGTGGAAGTTTCAACTTAAGAGTGATGACCTAGGGTATCTGGCAGTAGAAATTTCTAAGCAGCAAAGCGGTCAAGAAGTGGCCTAGTTGCTTCAAACGGCCAATGTTTATATGTGCGAGCAAAGAAATGACCTGAAACTGGACCTTATATTTAAAAGGGAAGCAGAGTGTAAGAGTTTGGAAAATTTTCATGCTGGCTAATATGGTTAGGCTGTGTCCTCACCCAAATCTCATCTTGAATTCCCATGTGTTGTGAGAGAGACCCAGTGTGAGATAATTGAATCATGGGGGGAAGTCTTTCCTGTGCTGTTCTCGTGATAATGAATAAGTCTCACAAGACCCGATCATCTTCTAAAGAGGAGTTCTCTCTCTCTCTTTGTCTGCTACCAGCCATGTAAGACAAAACTTGCTCCTCCTTGCCTTCCACCATGATTGTGAGGCCTCTCCAGCCATGTGGAACTGCAAGTCCATTAAATCCTTTTTCCTGTATAGATCACTCAGTCTCGGGTATGTCTCTATCAGCAGCATGAAAACAGACAAATACACAGGCCACATAGCAGGAAACGAAATCATTTTCAGGAGAGAAGTTCAAGCAGGCTGTGGAGTAACCACTTGCTAGGGAGATTAGCCTGACCTAAACGGAGCCAAGTGTTAATGTCTAAGACAATGGGAAAAAGGCCTTGAAGGCACTTTAGAAGTCTTGGGGCAGTCCCTTCCATCACAGGCCCAGAGGCCTTGGAGAAAAGTGGCTTAGGGGACCTGGCCCAGGGCCTTGCTTCCCTGCGCTGCCACACTGCTCCCTGCATCCTGGCCACTCTGGCTTCAGCCATGACTCAAAGGGGCCAAGGTACAGCTTGCGCTGCAGCTCTAGAGGGTGCAAGTCATGCCTCAGCAGTTGTCACATGATGTTAAGTCTGCAGATGCTCAGAATGTAAGCATGAATGAGGCTTCCTAGATTTCAGAGGATTATGGAAGAGCTTGGTGCCCAGGAAGAAGCCTGTTGCAGGGTGGAGCCCCAACAGAGAAACTCTACTAGGGCAATGGCAGGGGGAAATGTGGGATTGGAGCCTCTACACAGAGTCCCCACTGGGACACTGCCTAGTGGATCTATGGGAAGGGGGCCACTGCCTTCCAGACCCCAGAATGGTAGATTGGAAGCTTGCAAACTTTGCTTGGAAAAGCCACAAGCACTCTACTCCAACCCTTGAGAACAGCCATGTGTGCTGTACCCTGCAAAGCCACAGGGGTGGGTCTGCTCAAGGTCTTGGGAGCCCACCCCTCATACCAGGGTGTGGGACATGAAGTCAAAGGAGATTATTTTGGAGCTTTAAAATGTGATGACCGTCCTGCTTGGTTTTAGACTTGTGTGATGCCTGTTGCCCCTTTCTTTTGGTGAATTTCTTTCTTTTGGAATGGGAATGTTTACCCAATGCTTGTACCACCATTGTATCTTCGAAGCAAATAACTTGTCTTTGATTTTACAGGCTCATGGTGGAAGGAGAATGAGTCTCTGATGAGACTTAGGACTTTGGACTTGATGCTGGAAATATTTGAGACTTTGGGGAACTACTGGAAAGGTATGATTGTATTTTGTAACGTGAGAGGGACATGATATTTGGGGGCCAGAGATGAAATGATATGGCTTAGATGTCTGTCCCCTCCAAATCTCATGTTGAAATGTAATCCCCAGTGTCGTAGATGGGGCCTAGTGGGAGATGTTTGTGTCATGGGAGTGGATCCCTCCTGACTGTTTTAGCCCCATCCCCTGATGATGAGTGAGTTCTTGCTCTGGTAGTTCATGCGAGATCTGGTTGTTTAAAAGAGTGTGGTGCCTTCTCCCTCTCTCTCTCTTGCCATGTGACGTGCTGGCTCCCTGTCACCTTCTGACATTATTGTAAGATTTGTGAGGCCCTCAGCAGAAGCAAATGCCAGCATCATGCTTCCTGTAAAGCCTGCAGAACCATGAGCCAATTAAATCTCTTTTATCTGTTAAGTTACCCAGCCCCAGATACTTCTTTATATCAATGCAAGAATGGTCTAATATAATCTCACTTGCCACCTCTACTACTAAGCCATTCACAACCTCTGCTTTCAGAGATCCATCTATCCATTCATCTACCCTTCCTTTCATCCATCCATCCATCCATCCATCCATCCATCCATCCATCCATCTTACCCACTTCTTCCTGATTAAGCTGTCAAATTAGGCCACGCTGTTTTTTCATGTCTAGATGAGATGAATTTAAAGCTTTAGTCCAAGGATTCTGAAGTATCTAGAGCTTCACAAGATTTTCATAAATTCCTGGGGGGCTTATTAATTGTGGTCACTTCTGGCTCCAGCCTCCTTATTCTGAGGAAATTCAGTCTAGGGATCACCATGCTTGTTGCTCATGTCTTCTCTTCCCTGTTCTGCACACCATTAACTCAGTTATAGAACTCAGCCATTTTTCTTAACATTCACCAGTGCAACCATTTACATAAGGCATTCACATTGTGAATATATCTTGTAGGTATGGAATAATTTTAGCTCAGAAAAGGAAATCTCAGTGTTACATATTACTATACCTAAATATCCCATGGTCATTTCCACAACTTGAGCTCATCTCACCTCATACTTGATTCCTTTCCTAAAATGAAATCTGATGACAGC